CCCATCATCATTCAGAGCTATCTCATGCTTCATGACGGAGTGATCTAGCTTTGCCAGACCCATTTTCAACAGCAGCCAGCAAACATGTTGGCTTCTTTCTCCAACCGGCAATTTACCCACTGAGATCTATCTAATTTCTCCTCACCTGCTGCTGTGTGTTTAGGATTGAATTGATCCTACAAGGGTCTCTCTAGGGTGTCTCAGTGTGGCAGAACCAGAATGAGTTTCCAGACCCAATCAGGCATTGTTTCCAACAAAACGGTCTCTGTATGTGCAAGTTTATCTCTTCAGCTTTCTAAACTGCCCTTCTCTTTATTTCCAGGTCCTATGTCACCAAAGCAATACAAACCCAGGAGTCTATTTTTTTAACATTGACCAGCAGATCAGCTTCACCTATCCAGGGTCTGGTAAATGTCAGGTATACAATCTAGTCCTATTTCTCCTTTACTTTCATACAAGTTTCTCCTACACACTTCACACCTAGTCCTCATTCTCAGGTTGTCAGATACAGAAGTAAGCGGTGTTCAGTTAGTTGCAATGTGCAACTACACGGCTAGATACTAGAAAATCTTACACACTGGTCCTTTAACTGACATGTTTTTCTCGTTGTGGCATTACGTAGTACTTCCTGTCCAGACCAGAAGACTGTCTCCCTGCAGTGTATGGGTAAGGAGCCTCCATCTGTTCCTAAGTCATGTGTCACACACGGTTACACATGAGCTCTTTCTTTCCTTATCTCTCACACACAGTACCTACGACTGCACGTCCAGTCATTTGCCACCTTTCTACAGACCATATTATGTTTAAAGCTGGGGTGAGGTTGAATTTCAACAAGAAAACCAACAGTGAGATACTGGAGATCAGAATATGGCAGATAGGAGGGGTAGCATCCAAGCTAGGTCGGGCAGTCAAATCAACTCCTCCAGTCTGCTGCTATACTTACTGTACATGGCATATTCATCGCAACATAACCAATGCACCGTTTTAGTCATGTTTACCTAAGCCATCGGTGCTTTGCTCACGATGTTGCTGCTCGCATACTAAAAACTGCTGCTGACACTTTCAACTGCTGTTCATATACTGTTGCATTTCATAGCCCCCAGCATCCACCTCTTGGTTTTGAATCTCCTTTTCTGTAAATATTTTCATCACTCCCCACTCCCTGCTGTAATGAGATCAGAGCCTAGACAGCAAACATCAACGCTGTATATGTTCTACATTTACATCATAATTTATTCCATGTGCGTTGGCAGATTGAAATACACAAAATTATATATACAGTTAACACACTGACTGTATTTCACTGTTTGTTTTATATCCAATAAAACTCCAATAAACAAAAAATGTCCTTAGTTTCAAAAGTCACTGATTTAAACAGTCTGTAAAGCAATAGATATCTCAACCCTATACAAATGATTTATTTTTCTTTCTTTGGTATTCTACAGTATCTCGTATTGTCTTCTGTTCCCAGACTGTGGTCAGCAGCAGACTACATCTCGGATCATTGGGGGCAGCGTGGCTAAGGTGGGTCAGTGGCCTTGGCAGTTGTCACTCCACTTCAGAGGATCCCACGTCTGCGGAGGAGTCTTGATCTCTCCTGATTTTGTGCTGACCGCTGCCCACTGCTTCCCAAAGTGAGAATGTGTACTTCAGGATTCCTGTTTTTTTCTATACTGCAATAATCTTCTGTATTTCGGAAACATTGGAACACAACCACTGCCAAATTAGTTTGACTCCTTTGCTCTTTCTGTATTTCAGAGGCAACACTTTGACTCTCTTGGCAGAGAACTGGAAAGTATATAGTGGAGCTGTGTCTCTGGACAGACTACCTCAGCCCTACCTAGTTAAGAAGATCCTACTGAACGAGAACTACAACAGCAAAACTAATGACCAAGATGTCGCTCTTATCAAACTTAAATCTCCAGTTGTTTTCAATGGTCAGTCACAGCTTCACTTTATTGAAACAATATATATTTTATCCTACTTTCATACCTGAGGCTGTGGTCAGAATGTGGTGATCGGTGGAAATTTAAATCTAAAATGAACAGGTGAACAATGCACTACTTTACCATTAACAGTCACTTTCTGATTCCAATATTAATCTACATTAATCATGTTTTTTACTTTTTACATGATTTAATATCTAAGAATTAGAACAGAATTTGGTCATCATGTAGTGAAAGTCCATACATTCAACACAAAAAACAAACATAGCAAAAAACATTGAGCCATAAGGTAAAGCAAATACGCAGCACAGTGACTACTATGAAAATGTTTTGAGGCCGAGCTTTTATAATCTGTGCTGAGTCCACTGAGTCATACTACTAATCTGATTTGCCAAGTCCAGTGTGTGTGTGTGCATGTGTCTACACTACTATCCTTTTGAGCACAGGGCTGCTGGTGTGTTTGCAAAAGTTAAATACGTCTTTTTGTGTTATCCAGATAAAACTCAGCCAGCTTGTCTGCCAACCTTTGACCAGCAATTTTCCCAAGGAACCAGATGCTGGACCTCCGGTTTTGGCACCACTGTAGCAGGATCCGGTAAGCTGGGATATGGAGCCACCTATAGTAATACACAAAAAATTGAACAAACTTTATTTTATTGGATCCTCATTAGTTTTCCACTGTGGCTGAAAGACATTACTTAGTCATATGGTCTGCTTTGGTTACATCTACTTATTTCTTTAAAGTGTAAGCCCCCTTCTAGTGCTGTTTCATACTTGTTCCATACTACAGAAGCCCTGTACGTAACTGTATGTTTTAAAAGCTCTAAGGATAACTAATTGTTGTTTACCTACATACCAACTGGAGTGTGCATGGTTAGGTACTCCAATAAAGCTAAAAAAGATCCAGGTAACCTTAAAAAACATAGCTTTCCTCATGAAAACAAGCAGATGGGCATAGTTAGGTGAATACAAATAGAGTAAAACCAGACGAGATCAGAGCCCACATGCATTTTTTATTTCCTCTGTTCATTCAACAACTAAGGAACCCTGTGGTAATACAATTTATTATTTTCCCTTAATCTACATTATACAGTAATGAATAAACAAATCCATGTAACACTGGATCACAGATCTGGTACCCATATTGGTCTATAGTAGGTCAAAAGGCAGGTTATACACCTGGGAACAAGAATGCAGTCCTATCTGACAAACAAATCCAGAGAGCTAGGGCAGTCAGGCAGTGGTCAAAAAGCAGGTAGACATTCATCAGAAGAGGTACAGGCAGGCCGAGCACAACAGAATCAAGTGTGAAACCCCTAAGGGATCATGGATGATCTATCAGAGAGTGACAAATGTCTGTCCGCTCTATACTGAGGCTGATAACGACTGAGAACGATGGACGTAAGACTCGATAGTAATGGCTGATGGGCAAAGGTTCACATTTATTCAGCCACTATTTTGACATTTTGACATATTTTAGAGCCTCATAAATAAATAAATTGGTATGTTGCCTCCTCCAATACAGGCACCGTATCCAGGGATCTGATGGAGGTGACTGTGGACATCATTGGAAGAGAAGTGTGTAACAGCCCCAGTGTGTATGGAGGCGCTGTGACTAAGAACATGCTCTGCGCTGGGGACCTTGCCGGAGGCAAAGACTCCTGTCAGGTAAGCAGTCAAAATCAAAGGACAGGTTTACAGTAACCAGATTAATATACATTGCACTCTTAACATCCAGCAAACTTTAGAGTAAAACTTAACAAAGTAGGAACTATATTTTCCAGGGTGACAGCGGTGGACCCTTGGTGTGTCAGGGGGAGAGTCTTTGGTACCTGGTGGGGATCACGAGCTGGGGAGCTGGCTGTGGTGAAAGAAACAAGCCTGGTGTTTACACCAAAGTCAGTAGTGTTCTGCCCTGGATCTACAGCAATATGCAGGTAAAGAAGAGCAAAAATAAATAAATAAATGGCGTAGGAGAACATGTATATGTTACCGGTTTTACCCATTCAACTCTTCCTCTGCCTCCTACAGCAAGAGAGGCCGTGATGTCCCTTCGTCTCCTGCTGGTGGCGATCTGCTTTCCCCACTTCACCCAATGAACGCTGCACTATGAAGTCGTCTCAGAGAGACGGACAGGGTTACTCATACATACAAATTGCATTTGATGAGGAGGTACTGTGGACAGGAAGACAGACGGATGAAAAGTTGCATGCTGGTTTGGGGGAGTGGCAGCACAACAAATTGCTCAACTTGAACACAGGGCTTCTGTCTTGGTGTTCTGCATCATATATATTCATGTCATACGGCAGTAATGTGTATTAGCCGAAGCTGATTATTAACACACACTAATCGATGCACTGACTTCAGTCTTGCATTCTTGATTTTATTCTCCTGTCTCTTGGTGTCTCAGTCATACAGAATATGTTGGTTTTAAGCAGGCTTTAAAGATGGCTGGCCCTTCTCTTATGTGTTCTGTGCCAATGACACACAGTCCACTCTACTGTGATCTCCTTAACCTGCTAGAGAATGATACTCTTTAAAAGAAAATGATTTATGATTGTCGAGGTGTGTTTTTTCTCAGGGACACATCTCAGGCTTTTCAATGTTGACGATTGTTTACCATATTAAAATAGAAAAGGACACTTTATGTATTCACTTTATGAAGGAAGAAAGCAGTGTGACCCCTTGACTCCCTTTTTGAGCTGGCACTCTGTCTGCGCACCTAAACCTCCCCTAACACACTGAAATTGTTCTTACATTGTTTATCAATGTGTGTGTGTTCTCTGTCTGTCATATTTATGTGCATTTTGTCTAATTGATTTTTCTATTTGTCTAATGTGTGGGATCACTGAGCGTTACACACTGAGCATACACAAAATAAAGATCAAGGAAAATTGTTATAATGATATAATCACAGAATAAAGCCTGTACCACACACAACCTGCCAATCACACATGAGCCTGGCATAATGCTGGGGGTCTCTGCTGGGTGTGTGTGTATGTGTGAGAAAGAGAGAGAGAGAGAGAGAGAGAGAGAGAGAGGGGAGGCGGGGGGCAACAGAAAAGGTTCAACGCACTGAATAAGCAGTCACTCCAGGCGTCACGTTGTTATCCATCACATCTATTTTTTTTCCAGGACAAGTAAATGTGAGCAGTGTGCACATATTGACAGATGAGAATATTTGGAACAAAAGCCTTGTGAGACAAGCTGATTGATTTTTGTGGGTGGATTTCAGTTTGTTGGCCAACGGTCTGCTGGACAAACAAGAGGTAAGTTGATAAGCGCGCATATTTGATGTCTTGGATGATTTTCTTCTGCGGAAAACGAGAGTCAGGAGGGGTCATAATAGCCAAGGGAGATGGAGTGGAAGGGAACGGAATTTTTTTTTAAATCATAATTTATTTCCACTGGCTTATTTTGAGTGCACAGTCCAGTGTAAATAAATCGTGTTATTAGTAGGATTTTAAGGCAATCACGCACATTTCTAACTGAAATGATTTTACACCAACATGCATTGGTGTTTAACATTTACACACTGCTGGGTCTCATTGACTTGCAAAGATGCCATTTACAACGCTTCTTCTTGTTTATCAGGGCTATAGAATGAGGGTGTGTCTACTGGCACTGATCACTATAACCTTCACTGGTTGCGCGGCAAAGAAAATAAAATAATAAATAAAAAAAGCAAATAGGGATAAAATGTCTGAAATGAACGTGACCAATTCACTGACGCAACTGTGATCGTGAGCCCTGAAAACCGCAAGTTGAAAACCAAACATCAGATGTCGTGTTAGACCCGTTATTATAAACGGCCAGTTGCTGTCAGTGAGAAGGAAAACACAAGGCGGGTGATGGCTCGTTTTTTTTCCTGCTCCGTCAGATGATCCACAGGTTGAGAGGCGCAAAAGTGGATGGATGCGCAGACGTCGAACATCGGCTGTTGAAATATCATTGTGCCAAATGTTTATCACGAGTCGTGGCAGCGATAACCTGCCAGTGATAACCTGGCAGTGTCATCCGGGCTGTGCGTTTGCATCCTAATGGGGCAGGTTATCAGCGCGTTATTAGTGTGGGTGCGCACAGGTAACAAACAGCCGCTGAATTTACAATCACTATGCCCTGTAGCTGACGTGTTTATGCATATATGGATGTGTGCGGATTTCATTTAGAAACCGACTCAATCCAGCCGACAGATTCTGACTTTAAAGCTGCGTGCCACACCCCTTTTATCCTGCTTATGTGTGGACTGTCCTTGTAATATGATATGTCATCTTAACCCATTTCTTGTTCGGCGCCAGAATTTTCATTTGGAGACAGTTACCATGGAGATAACTGGACACTATGGACCGACGCACATTGTTGTCATGGTGATGTAACATTATTATGATTGCAGATATAGGGGGCAAGTTTCTTCTTTATTTTTTCCACAAAGGTATTAGGAGACCTGTGGTGTGACCTATTTAGCTGCCCTACGTTTTTTATTAGGGTTGAAAAATAGGAAATACCTTTTTAATGGACTCTGGCACTTTACTATTTTATTTGTCTAAATACACAAGCTGCAGGGTCATTCGTCATTATGTCCTTTCAGAAACCTGCACAGCCACAAAAGCGTACTGTGAAATGGGGAGATTTGGCACAATGATACCAAACAACCTTACACTGAAAGAGGGACCTGCACATAAATACAAACAATAACCAGCAGGATAGACTGAGCACTGAGCAGTAAAGACACCGTTAGGGGTTGGTGGGGTGTGGTCTCATGTAAAACCACACATGCAATAGACACTGTAGTCATTCTCATGACCTTGTCTGTGTTTTCCATAATTTATCATTTAAGCTGTGATTTGTGTCACAAAAGTTTGTGTCACACTGATCTTAAGCTTGTCTGAGACTCAGATAGCATGGTGTCAAAAGGTTAGATCATGAATTTTTTCCATGTCTGAGTGACTGTTGAGTTGCCCTAGTCTACTTTATCGTCTCACTGCTCCCACTGTTTTTGGTTATGTTGTCTCTTTGATCACCTTGCTGTTTTTTCCTTTACCTCATCACATTTCCTGACCTTTCTTTTTAATGCTTTGTGTATTTTATACTGGAAATGCCATACAACGGACTGCCCTTCCCCTGCCCTCTCTCCTCACACAGTGTCTCCTCTGCATGCCCTTCGCCTTGTACTCTCCTGCCAGATAATGTCTGTCCCTGTATGCTTGTCATCCCTTTCTCACTGTCTTTCAGCCTGCCCTTTCCTTGTCCCAACATTACAGAAAGCAGCCTCCCTGCCTGCTATTTCCTTGTCCTCCCCAAACAGATACAGTCGCTTGGCCTGCCCTTTTCTTGTCCTCCCCTCTCAGACAAAGAGAAGCCTGGCACTGGAACTTAATATTGCCAAACAATAGTGCAGATAAGGTAGGTTAAGGAAAGATGGAGAGACAACTGGTCTGGTGCCATGTATCACACCTAGGGAGAGAAAAGCTGCTGCTGAAAAGTGGCATGATACATTACATTGGGCAGTGCCATGCTGCCAAAAACTCAAGTATTCTCACGGGACAAACGTGACACTGACCTATAACGGTTAAAAAGACTCCCCTTCCCGAAGAGATTCATATTGCACCCTAACAAAAGTGATATTCTTAACTGTGATCTCATTATTTTCTTTATTCATGTGAAATCTTTGGTCAGAAAAGTATGTTTTAACAAATATAGAAAAAAATAAAGCTAGACCAATAAATCAAGCTTATTGGTTCTGGTGTATGGGAAGAAACTGTCAAAGATATGTCTCAAATGCATTTAGAAACCGTGTCACCACTGCATAGTTTTTCAACCATAATATGATCTGATTATCTTATATTTTAAACTTTTAAATCTGCATTGGCTGAAAAAAAATCCAGTACTGATCAGGCTATAGTATGCAGTCAAGGTAGATAGACCTCTCAACAAACGTATCACAAAAGTTTGCTGTCAGCAAGGATGAGTTTCTCTAAAACTCTCTAAAATGAAAGCTTTAGAAATTACCATCAAAAATCTATACAAAATCAAATTGAGCTTTGAATTACATAAAATTCTACTTCCTTTCCTTTGTCGTTACAAAGAAGGACAGGTGTTGTGGTGTGAGTAGACATCTAGTATTTTGAGTCTGACTGAATGCTTGGCCTATAACCTCAGACTATCTTTGGTTCCTCCAGAATTGGTGGAGGTTGTCCAACAGGCCACTTAACCCAGAACACTTACTGTCACATCTACGCCATTAAGACATCTCTTAGTGAGAAGAGCCACGGTAGGGCGTCACCCCCCTCTCTATCTACCAGCTAGGCATCATCTTTCCCTCCAACATTCTGCTCTCCATTAGTCTCATACTGACAGATCTTTGCACTGCGGAGAGCATCCACCTGAACACACGCTGGTGGGTTGTAGAATGTTACTTAGGAAGATTTTGCAAATGGCTATAACTGCCTCAAAATTTCCAAATTAAGTCATTAGTTCGAAGAGTTTTACTTTTGGTGGAACTCTTGTTGTTTCTCACTGAAAACACTGATAGAAGGGGGAGTGTGATAATCCCAGCAGTCCGCATCTTTCACGTTGGATTGCATTTTCATCTGTCCAGCCACCTATTCCATTTACCGCATATCCTCTCAGATATATCAAGGTTTTCACACCAGTTGAGCAGCATGTGATGATTGAAAGCCGAGAAGGGTTAAGATAAAAAGAAAAGGGATTCTCCTGTTGCTATTGAAAAGGTAGATCAGGGTGGCTCAAGATAAAATGTGCCTTAAAAAATCTCATATGTCATGGTAGCCAGCTCTTCAGTGATGTGAGATTTTAGCCACAGTTTTATCCTGGAGCCAGTGTTTTGTTAGTCCCTTCTGGGCTACTGTAGAAACATGGCAGTTCAACATGGTGGCCTCCATGGAAGGCGATCTGAAGCACCTGTAGATATAAACGGCTCATTCTAAGGTAACAAAAACGTAACGATTCNNAACATAGTTATGCATATTATATTCAATTTCTGCCAGTAGATCCTCCTAAATGTTACACACTGGATCTAAAAAAAAAAGTAGTGAGTGTGTGAAACAAGGTGTCAGATATGCCACATATACCACAGTTCTGTATTTAAGATGTTTGGTGTCAGATTCTTGTGAACCAAGTCATCTATGTTTATTCTGTATGTATTTTTTGATAGAATACACACAGATGACTGGTTTATTGAGTGTCTGCTCTAATTGTGCTGAATGCTCTGTCAAAGAGATTTTACTGTGTTTAAATGTTTCCACTTTAAAACAGGCAGTAGAGGATGATATTAAGGTACAGCAGTATATACAGTATTACTGCCACTATGACAAAAATATGTAGATTTTCTTATTACTACTGTAGATAGGCCTACTAAATTACAACATTCATAAAATATAATTTTATCTTACTATATGACAAAATGTTCTTGTTATTTCACAAAATCAATCGTATTAAAACATACTTTTCTCGTTATGATATGGTAAGTTGAAATGTTTTTGTCACAAAACACTTGATTAATTGATGTTAAAGGAAGAAGATTGAGAGATTGTAGTCTACAATGGCCACAAAAAAGTAGTACCATCAGTAGAAGCACCATCCATCCATAACTATATCTACCGATATATACCACATATCCTGTGCAGGGGGACAGGGTGGGTGCACCCTGGACAGGTCATCATATCACAGGGCTGACACAAACAAACAATCATACATACACATCTACAGGCAACTTTTAGAGGGGTTACTAGTACAATAGAGATTATTTTACTAGATTACTAGTATATGTGTTGAAATGGAACAACCCAAGCTCAGTTCAGTCTCTGAACAGAGCAGAGGTGGAGGGGTGATGGTGGTGGACACGTACTGAAATATAGACAGACGTATATGAAAAATATCTTATAAAGAGAGCAAGATGCCTGCCATTAATAGTTCTCACACCTGTTGTGTACTTGAGCTGGATCAGTGTTTATTAATGGGTCTGAACTAAATGTAAGTGATGTACCGTTTGGGGCCAGCCCACCAATCATCACCTCTGACGTGAACAAAAATGTCTCTGTCAAGATGTGACCTTTAAAGATTATATTGTCATATCTTATCATTCATATCTGGGTTTGATTTTAACTCTACTATAAAAGTTCCACTCTGAATGAAAGACCTTGATAAAAGGACTTTCAGCTTTCAAAGCTTTTAAAAAGCTTTCAGTCTTGACTGTGTAGTCACAACTGAAATGAAAAGCCTCAATAGAAGAAGAAATTCTCTTTCGTCTAGTTTAATGGCTTTAGTATTTTAGAAGTGCAAGCTTGAAACAAAAATGTACACCAACAAAAACAAACGAAGAAATTAAATCAATGCATTTCTACATTCACTGAAAATGAAATAAATAATATTGGATTTCTAATTCTAAAAACAATAGAACTCAAAGGCACTTGACATGGTAACAAAAAGATAACAAAC